CTCATCCCAAAGTTCGTTTATTCATCACTCATGGAGGTTTACTGTCCGTCCAGGAATCAGTCCATCGTGGTGTACCAATGCTCGGTTTACCAATTTATGGAGATCAAAAATTGAACTCCATGAGAGCTACTAGAGGAGGGTATGGACTCACCATACCGTTCAATGAATTATCCGAAGAACGTGTGGAATATTCAGTTAGCCAACTACTAAGTAAGTTCAATGATTGATTGGCATCATAATATTTTCAGAATTTGCAGAATTTGATATTTTTGAATGAGTAATCTCAATTACCCAATAAGGTCATCGTCCGATTTTTGTGGAAGATTCAATTGTTTGATTCATACATTCATATTTATTTAAGACAAGCAAACGCAAACGTACGCACGTAGAAAACTGTTAACTTTTTTGACAAGCAAGCCAAAAAACCGAAAATGAAAATTTTTATATATCTTTATGTTTCAGAGGTTTCTGAACATTTTGGCATACCTTAGAAAACATGGATGCATGTGTGTATTTTTGTCGACGATTTCGGGAACACGGTTCAATTTAATAATTAAAAAAACATTCGATTTCTATTGATAAGGATACCGGCTGATTAGTTTTTGGCAAATGCAGGTATAGCCGTTTCGAACATACGAGACAAAAAGTGCAACAAACGGTAACTCAGTTTTTAAGATAACGGAGCGTCCGATTTTAATATTTCAAATTAAATTTCACTTGTATTGACAAGTACTTTCCTTTACAAGTGATCAAATTTTCATGAAGGCAGGTATAGCCTTCTAGTAAAAAAGAGAGAGATCTAGTAAAAAAAGTGAAAAAATGACATTTGGCGGTCAAAAATGATCATTAGACATAAGCACATGAAATTATCAGATATTTTATAGAGATTTTAACAATAAGTATAAATTTTGTTTACATTCCTATGGGTTCTGTACCAATGCTTATCCGCTAGACGGCAACGCGCCGCTTACGCGCTTCGATATTTCGTCTCTATGCAATTAAAGCAGTACGATTGCTTTGGAAAAAGGTTCATAATTTCCAAAATAGTTCCAAATAAAGAAAACGTTTTTTTTTCAACAAGTCTTTTTTTCAAAAAAAGTAGATTTAAATAAAATTAAATAATTAAAAGTAGTCAAAAATCTAATTTTTCAAAGAAAATTTTTTTCGAAAATGTTAATCATTAAAAAAAAATATTTTTTGGTACGGGAAGTTCTAGCAATTTGTCTTAAGGCACGATGTCATGCTCCACAAGATATATTTTCAAATAGAAATTACTGTAGAAGACCTGTAGACCGGCACACTACAATGTGGAATGCCTGAATTTTCGAAAATTTAGTTTTTTTTTTTTTAAATGTGCCTTTTATAGCAAATAAAAATGCTCAAGATGTATTAAAACGTTTTTGGAGTGGCTCGGAATCATTTGTAAGGACTCGCTATTGTTTCGTAACAGTTGTGTCCCTAGTAAATTATGTTGTGTCTAGGTTCATGAACAAAGTATGTTCCACGAAGCACGTAGCCCATACGTTCTACAAAGGATTTGGTCTTTTTTTTAAGTTAGTATACCGAATTCAGTGGCACAGTATACATATATGAGTAGATTCAATCACCTAACTGTTTAGTGATCATGTTTTCAAAACTTAAGCCTTGGTATTCAAAGGTGAGAAACGAAAAGATTTAACTCTCAGTCAGGAACTAATATCATCAAATTTATTTTTCTGTAAAAATTAAAAAGGTTTCTGTTTGAAGATTTAAAAACATTTTAAATATATATATATATATATATATATATATATACATATATATATTTCTACTGATTATATATATATATTTAAAATGTTTTTAAATCTTCAAACAGAAACCTTATATATATATTATATATATATATATATATACGAGGAATATATTATAATATATATATATATATATATATATATATATATATTATAATAAATGTAAAATAACATTTTTAGTTTGTATTTTCTACTGATTTTTGCTTCACGTGTTTTAGAGATATTATAGAGTATCTGTTTTTGATCTAAAAGTTGCATAGGCACATGTGATTTTCGGATACCAGATATCAAAATAAGATAATTTGCCGGAGAAACCATATCTCTAGAACAAATTGGAGTCAAATTTTAAAAACTCTCATTTTGAGAACCCCAATAGCGCCCAAATGTATGACCGACCCCTACTCAATTTGGAAAACCAATCCACCCATGCTCGTGGTTTACTCCCTGGAACCTGTCCTGAGAAGCCCCTCATTCAAAAATTGTGAAAAATCATCATTTTTGGTACTTTACCGGATAAAAATCAGCTATTTTTAACTTCCCGTAGGGCAAGTTATAGTAATCGCAAAAAAATCGAAAATGAAAATTTTTATATATCTTTACGTTTCAAAGGTTTCTGAACATTTTGGCATACCTTAGAAAAAATGGATGTATGTGTGTGTGTGTGTGTGTGTGTATGTATGTATGTGTGTGTGTATGTATACAAATACATATCGGATACAAATTTTCGTCGACGATTTCGGGAACACGGATCAACCGATTTGAATAATTCAAAAAACATTCGATTCGTATTGATAAGGAGACGTGCTGATTAGTTTTTGGCGCAGGGAGGTCTAGCCGTTCCAAAGATACGGGGCAAAAAGTGCCGAAAACGGTAACTCAGTTTTTACGAGAACGGAGCGTCCGATTTTAATAATTCAAAAAACATTTTACTTATATTGGCAAGGTGAAGAACCGATCAAATTTTCATAAAAGCAGGTCTAGCGGTTTCGGAGATCTAATGAAAATCATTAGACTTATGCACATCAAATTATCAGATATTTTATAGAGATTTTAACAATAAGTATGAATTTGGTTTACCGTCCTATGGGTTCCGTACCAATGTTTACGCGTTATACGGCGACGCGGCGCTTACGCGCTTTGATATTTCGTCTTTATGCAGTTAAAGCAGTACGATTGCTTTGAAAAAAAGTTTAGATCTTCCAAAATATGTCAAAATAAAGAAAACATTTTTTTTTTCAAAAAAAAAAATTTAAAAAAATTTTTTTTTTTTTTTTAATTTTTTTTTTCAAAAAAAAGTAATTTTTGGTCCAATTTATAGTTTCTCAAAAATCTTATTTTTTTTAAGTAAATTTTTTTCAAAAATGTTAATCGTTTTTTGAAAAAAAAAAATGGTACGGGAAGTTCCAGCAATTTGCCTTAAGGCACGGTGCCTTAATTGCCTTAAGACAGAATTCCACTTACAGCTAGTTTATTGATATATTTAAACAATACATATTGGCATGCAGTTATTTGTCATCATATGTTTTTTTAGTTCTAGTCTATTTTAACTAGAAAAATTATATGTTTTAGATGATCCTATGTACAGTGAAAATGCAAAAAGTCTCTCAGCAATATTTCGCGATAGAGTTCGAGATCCTTTAGAGACAGCAATATATTGGATCGAGTATGTTCTGCGGCATAAAGGAGCAAAACATTTGAGATCTGCTGCCATAGATATGTCTTGGAGTAGTTACTATATGTTGGACATTATTGGAGTTACAATGTTAGCTTTGGCAGTTCCGTATTATATTACGAAAATGGTTCATCGAATTGTAAAGAAAGGTTCTAACAAATAGAAAACACAGGTGATTTAGTTATTATAAATTAAGCTCTGCCTTATTATGATGTTATATTTTGAAATACAAATTATTAAGTGTGTGTGATTAATTTTATATTCTGTTATACGCGTATATCTGAAAAGAATTATATGGAACACGTTATAAGTTAATTGATATTATCTTATTCAGGCAAATAGTTTCAGAGAATATTAAAAATACTGTATAGAGATTTTTAACTTCCAGAAGGAAAAGCAGAATTTGTGCAAAAAATGCAATGTTCAATGTTTTCGCAAAATCACTTCAATTGATTTTTAAGATTCAAAAACTTTTCGGAAAACGTTGGGATATTAGTTGGAGTGCTGGTTTGGCGAAAGATTGGGCGGGTAACTTCTTTGAAATTAATTGTTAATTAACTTCCCGTAGGGCAATTTATAGTAATCGCAAAAGAATCGAAAATGAAAATTTTTATATATCTTTACGTTTTAGAGGTTTCTGAACATTTTGGCATACCTTAGATAACCATAAATGGATGTATGTGTGTGTGTGTGTATGTGTGTGTGTGTGCGTGTATGTATGTGTGTGCGGATACAAATTTTCGTCGACGATTTCGGGAACACGGATGAAGCGATTTGAATAATTCAATAAACATTCGATTTGTATTGATAAGGAGACGTGCTGATTAGTTTTTGGTGAAGGCAGGTCTGACCGTTCCAAAGATATGGGGCAAAAAGTGCCAAAAACGGTAACTCAGTTTTTAAGAGAACGGAGCGTCTGATTTGAATATCAGATATTTTATAGTTATTTTAATAATAAATATAAATTTTGTTCACATTCCTATGGGTTCCGTACCAATGTTTACGCGTTAGATGGCGACGCGGCGCTTACACGCTTCTATATTTTGTCTTTATGCAGTTAAAGCAGTACAATTGCTTTGAAAAAAAGTTCAGAATTTTTAAAATATTTCAAAATAAATGATTCAAGATAGAATGATTTAATATGGTTCAAAATTTTATTAAAGGTTTCAAATCATTGATCAACTTTTATTGATTATTTTTAATTACTCAAATTTTGAATTGCGGTACGGGAAGTTCCAGCAATTTGCCTTAAGGCACGATGCCTTAATTGCCTTAAGACAGAATTCCACTTACAGCTAGTTTGTTTTTTGGCATTATGGTCTAAATCTTAAACGTTTACAAAAATATTATAGGGCTATGATAAATAGTTGAGTGATAAAAATTCATCAAGTTTGAAACAATGGGATGTTTAAAAGATGTCGATTACTTATTAAAGTACTTACATTTATAATTATACCTTAAAAACTAAACCGAAAGAGGTTCAGGTGATCTTATTTGTCCCAACCAAATGTGAGCTATTACTTATATTTTGACTTATATAAACATTTATACTTGTTTTTGCCTATGTAATATCTGATATTTGGTTATATCCACATGCACATACACATTTTCTTCTATTGTCCGGAACCTATGACTTCTCTTCGGCTATAGATATTTGCATAATAATAAATAAGCGTATTTTGTATTTGCCTGGATGCTGAAAACCATGTTTTATAGCATTTTGTTTAAAATTTCTCAGGTATAAAAATAAGAAAATTGAATTCCAAATTAGCTTTAGCATTATAGTAATTTGTTATGTACAGAAACAATAGGGTAGTGAATTTTAGTTAATTCATTATTTTAAATTGTTCTTGCAGCTACATTTTAATTCTATTGCATTGTATTGATTGGCACTTTGTTTATTTCAATTTAGTTTTATCCTACGCAGTTTTAAAATTCAGAAAGAAACAAATTACTTGAATCAACAACCCTTTAACTTTCACATAAAGTATTTTACCAGAGAGCCTTGGTTATCATCAGGTAGTACAATGATGTCTTTAGTAGAGTCTGCAATCGAATGCTTATGATTCAATTCGCCAGTTTCGCAACCATCGACTGCTATTAACCATTTATCATGGAACATCCTATCTTCAATCGGTAATTGAATCTCATGTTGGCTTCGTTCAATAGAAACTTGTCCTAGTTACCTGTAACGTTATGTCGGGTCTAGACAATTGCAAGTGTGGTATGGTTTGCGAATATGCAAATCAGTCAAGGTTTTTTATTTGCTTGTAGTTTCTCCAGCCATAACGGCCTAGACGGGCGGCTGGTAATAAAGGAAATACTCCTAGGAGTAGAAGCATCTTGCAAAGAGTACTTTCAAGCATTTGTAATAATATTTGAAAAAAATATTTTATTAAATTTTTAGAAACGAATAAAACAATGTATAATACTTTATATGGTTTCTTTATGAGTTTATGAAATAATTTGAATAGTTGATCAATCCTATTCAGTATCACACATTCTCGAATCTTACATAGTATACTATTGCACATATTTTCATTTTTAATATTCAAATTTTATATTCTCAAAAATGATTCTGATTCATTTGTTACCACAATTTGACTATGTATGTACGTTACCTTAAATCGGTTTTACCTATTTCCAAAATTTAAAAGTTTTTTTTTTTTTTATAAATGTTGGTCAAGCTGTTTCTTCGTAAGTAACTGTTATTTTTGTAAATGATTGCATAATTTGCAGGAATATATAACAGACACACTTTATTGCTATTACGCATTACTCATAATAATAAACAGCTGAAAAAATTTATTGGTCCCCATTCCAAAAATTCAATTATTTAATTAATTGTGTTAACTAATTTTGGTTAACTCCCTAAAGAGAGCTTTTTGTTGTCGCCAAAAATTCCGAATTTCATGTTCTCCTGATGTTTCGAGTCATTCTGAATCGTTTGATACCAAAATTGGAAAATGATAGAGATTATACCTTAACAAACATACTAAACTATTATGGTTACCCTACAAAAAGTGGTTTAATTATAAAAAATCTTTTAAGTTTGGAATAATGGTTTGTTCTATTGTCACAATTTTAAAAATTGCTAAATCCAAATGTCAATTTATTATACTTAACAAGAAGTTTTTTCAACTTGCCTTGTAGCAAAATACACCAATTACATGCATTTACACGGAGAACCTAATGTTTACTCTTCTGGAATTTTGATGACATTTTGTATAGTGATATGGTTGATAATCAAACCAAACACCTTAAAATATTATAGGTCTACGAGAAGTGGTTCAATTATAAAAATTAATTAAAGTTGCGAAAAATAAACCGCGCGCAATATAGACCTATAGTGTCACCTAGGTATATTTTCTGATAGCTGTTGTTTTCTTGTTATTTATATTAATTATTTTATTACTAATTTTTAATATAGGGGTTCACTTCTGTAGAAATATTGTGGTACATGGATCGGACAAGCAATTAAAAAAATTTTAGTTTTAGTTTTTTTAAATCACAAATTTAAAATTTTCATTAGATTAATTATAATTTATTTGCTGAGAATTATTTAAAATACACGTTAACTCATATTATGCAAGGATAAGATGAGCTGTTTAATTTGTATTAACAGATAAAAAAAATTAATCTTATTGATAGTAAATCGCAAGTCTATTCTAGAAATTTCGTAACAACCATTAAAAAAATCACTTAAGAAATGCGATCAAATTGTTTAAGCTTTTGACATTGTCTTGTTAATTGAAACCATAAATCACAATACAATTATATAATTTCGTCGGCATGTATGCAATGTGTTCACATTATTCGCTCGTCGTGGCTAATTTAGACATTTGCAAAGTGAAGATACATTTCAAAACATCATTTAATTTTGCTTTACACGGTGAAAGTTGATTCTATTCACACGAGTTGTTTGTATAGTTTTATGTTCAGGTTTTAAACAAATTATTTTCGCCTATATTTTCCATCATTAAGGTTATTACCGCGTTGCAAAATCTGTTCATTGTGCAAGATAAGATTACAGCAAAGAATGAAATGAAACTGATTTATTGATAAATCTATACAGAACGTGTATATACAAAATCATACAATCGTGTCTATTAGTATTTAAGTTTTGATTTTCATATAATACAGTAGTCGGGAAACCGGGGTAAATTACCCCAAATGGGATAAAAATTTAGTTAGTAGTTATCCGTATGAGGGTAATCTCTCTTCGCCTTGGGGGTAATATCAACTTAGTTAAAAATATTTTAGAGTAATGATTAAAAAAATTCCCCGACCGATCTATTATAATATAATAGATTAATTTTTTCGTAAAGCAAAGTACGTATGTTATTTAAATAAAATATCAGTGATAATTATGTGTAATAGATATTTCATCAATTTTATTAATTTATTAGATTAATTATTATACTTTACTCATTATTATACAGAACTCAATGCAATTCCATTTATTACTTAAAATAAAGATACAAATTATATAAAAAAAAATATATTTCATATAAATAATATTATTTTTTATATAAAATAATAAATTATGGAATATTGATCCCTTGAGCAAGAATAATGTTTTTTTTATTATTTGCAATTAAATAGCAATCAGAATCTATGTATTCTATAAGCTATTGGGATCTATTAAAACTCGAAATGTATATTTTAAATTTTATCACAGATTTCATAAAATAATATTATAATCGAACATCAAAAATCATATCGTATACATATTTAATAATTAAACGACGACTTATATTCTCTTAATAAGCTTCTCTTTTTCGTATTGGTAACATTATGCTTAATATCGTTTTTTTTAAATAAATACTTATTTCTTGTGTGGTATAACGGGGTTTTAAAGGTCCGCGGATAAAAAGGTCTACATCAATTAAATAAATAATGCTTCCAACTCTGTTGATGGATATTTCTGTCGAAATACCAGATCAAGGTTATATACAGTTTTATCTCTAAAAAATGTTGCCAAGTAACTTAGATTTTTTATTGATCGAATAATGTAGCTATTAATTCGCAAAATTCTTTTAAAATTAAAAATTAGACATAGTATTTGCTTCTAGCCGACCAATTTCACCCGCTTATGGAGTAAATAGAACCAGGTGACACATTTTTGAAAAACAGCAAAAAACACTTTTTTCCATTTAGTCG